ACAATAGCCAGGAGGTAAAAGCAACCTAAATGTCCATCAACAGATGAATGGCTAAACAGTATAACTGAAAAATTGTGCTCTACACTGGAAATTGACACAACATTGTAAACTGACTGTAACTCAATAAAATAAAATTTAAAAAAAACACATGATATCCATGTATAATGGAATACTATTCAGCTTTAAAAAGGAAGGAACCCCTATCATATGCTACAATGTGGGTGAAACTTGAAGATATTAATAAGTGAAATAAGCCAATCACAAAAAGACAAATACTGAATGATTCCACTTACATGCAGTACCTAATCGAATTCATAGAAACATAAAGTAAAATGGTTGTGGCCAGGGGCTGGAGGGAGAGAGAAACAGGGAGCTGTTGTTCAAAGAGTATAGAGATGCAGTTATGCAAGATGAAAAATTCTAGAGATCTGTGGTACAACCATGTGCCAATCATATAGTTAATAATGCTTGAAAAACTGTTAAGAGGGTAAATTCACATTACATATTTTTCTTACCACAATAAAAAAAATTTAATGGGCCTCAGAGATAGCAGATTTGAAAATACATTGTGTAGTTTTTATTTGGAATCAGATGTCTCAACTGTTTTACTTAATAGCTGTGTGACATTTGGTAAACTGCTACCCCTCTCTGGTCCTCATCTATAAAATGGGGACAATAACACATCTTCCCTCTAGAGTTTTGGTGAGCATCCAGTGAGATGAAAGATATAAAGTGTTTGGAAAGGACAGTGGTTAAGACCACAGACTCTGGAGTCAGACAAACTTCAGTTCAAATCCTGCCTCTGTCACATCTTGGCTTCATGACATTGGTCAAGCTTATCAGTCTCTAAGCCTCAGGTCCTTCCCCTGTAAATGGAGCCCATAATACTCCAAGCACATATCTCCCCAGCCTGGTGTGAAGATTCGATGAATAATATATGATATTCATGATCAATAGCTCTAAAAAGTTGAATCTACAGGAAATCCAGACAATCTGCCAATTAGATCAGATCAAATGTTTCTCAAAATAGCCCCGCTGTCATTGCAACAGCTCACATCACGCTACTCCAGCTTGATGCCACCTATGTCAGGCTTCCAGATATATTATTAACCCTGAAAGCTTCTGGGAACCAGTCACATCTTTCTATGACAGCTAAGGACAGTTGGCAAAAATGCTATCAGCTAATTTTCACCCAAGACAATTTCACTGTCATGAACCTCGGTTACTCATCTGTAAAAAAACAAGAAAACAAAAAACCTAATAATAATATTACCTATCTTATAGGTTTGTTGTAAGGATTAAACAGAAACTGCCTGATCCCTAATAACAGCTCAGTAAATGTTGGCTACTGTTAGTCTTACTTCTCTACTCAAGAAAGAGTTAAAGGTGCCGCCTCTGGTTCCCGTAACAGAATATATCACAGTGCATTTTAATGGCTGTTGATTTATCTTTCCTTCTAGGCTGGGAATTCCCTGGATGTGAGGGCTCAGACAACACACACACACACACACACACACACACACACACACAGAGTCACACTGTCCCTCATCCTTCACTTCCAAATCCTCTCACACCAGCCTCAGCCACCCCCAGTCCATAGATTCCCTGGGGCCACTAAAACACTGTAGTCTAATTATTTCCCTTCTGTGAATCCTAGTTTTTGCATGTATAAAATGGAAATAATATTGACCTTGACCTCACAGTATAGCTCTGAGGTTGAAAGCTGTAAAATCCCTAAAGAGCTTGGCATATAGAAGGTGTTCAATAAACGAGTGACCTCCTAGTTCGACCTCTCCTGTTGCTTGATATTTGTGTCCTGGCCTGGCCAAGCTGCTCATACTCTCTGAACAGTCTCCTCATGGAGTGGTTTCATTACCATTTGTCCAGGAAGCAGAGGAATTTGAGGGGTAAATTAAGGGAGCAAGGATCCTGACCTCTGGGGAATCTGCACTAGGCTCCCCACAGTTTGCAGTACAAGGACCCTAGCATCATGCCGGGAACATTGATCGGTGGACGAATGGAGCTCCTTGTCTAGGAGGACATCAGGGACAGGGTCTAGGGTCCCAGAGACAGGGGTGGCCTGTGTACCAGAGTTTCCCAACTTTCCTTCTCACTTGGGGCCCACCTGATCCCAGTTATGGATATCACATTGATGAGACTCAGTCTCCGCTCAGCTGGCCTAGGACATCCCTGGGGAGCTGGGGGACCCTGAGCCTGGTCTGGGTCTCTCCTTCTGGCTCCCAGATGCCCAGATAGTATCTGTCTATGAGTCACCACCCCCAAACCACTCCCCCTGCACCCTGCTTCCTGGAAGTCAGCCAGAGCAGGGAGGAGGGAGCGGGGAGGCACTTCTTCCTCTGGGCTTCCCCAGTACGGGGCACGCCCCTTGGTTATACCAAGAATCATTCCAACATCTTCAGGGTCTGGCCTTCGGGAAAACATAGGGTACATGGCACAGGTCCTGTGGCCACAGAGACCCAGATCTGTACCTGGCTCTGCTCTTTCCTAGCTGATCTTTGGCTCTCACAGCCCCCTTTTCTTCATTTGCAAAGAGGTAATAATAGAACCTTCCTCACCAGGCAGTCGTAAGTACAGAATGAAGCAATTTATGCACGTGGTTCCTGCTCAGTAACTGTGATCTCCAACCTCCCCCTCAGAAAATGTTTGTTGATGAATGAGCAAATGAATCAGTCGTGTACCGAAGCAGCCATTTCTCGTCCTTTGGGAGCAGCAACCAAGAGTGACTAAAGAGAAATCATAGAAATTGTGATCAGAGGGTCCGGACTGCGGCCTCAGCAGTGCCACCCACCACTGAGACTGAGTTTCCTCCCAGCTCTGAGCCTTAGGATCTTTATCTGCACGATGCTTCCCCTCACCCAAACCCTACCCCAAACCTCAAACATTGTTGTGAAAAGGAAAATTGTGGGGAGTGATAAAGAGCTTGGTAAATAGTAAAGCACTTGGGAAATTGAAGCAGATTTTATAAAGTATACACGGATTTGCACAAATTTTTCACATGCTTTGTCCATCAGTCTGCTGAGCTCCACTCCAAATTGAGGCCCTGAGGGTCTCCTGCCTGTGGAACTAGGGAGGTGGGGAGGGGCTGCTGAGTGGTGGTCCGCCCCCTACATGTTCTCTCTCTCTCTCACATACACACACACACACACACACACACACACACAGGCTCTGGATTCTCTTTGGCTGAAGACATGAGGGAAAGAAGGCCTACCAACTTCTCAGCTGGTTTTGCTGACGATCAGCTGCTGGGAACTGCTGGGCTGCCCTGGGCCCACCCGCAGGTTGGCATGCCCCAGGCACACGAAGATATAGCCAGAGCCAACTCCCCAGTCCACCCCACACTAGCACGGACACACAGAGATACACTATAGGCTTCTCTCTCCTCCCACCCTGCTGCCAAGGACCCCGATGGCGGCTGGTCAGAGACACGGCCACACTGGGGAACGGGCCCCACTCCTAACCCAGACACGCTCTCCCTGGACCCATCAGGAGGCACGCCAGGCTATATAGCTCAGCTGTGGCCCCTCCTGGGCGGACCTATGGGGACCTGGGTGAGAAAGGAGGGGCTGTCACTGGAAAAGAGAAGGATCCCTTTCCCCTCAACAAGGGCTTGTTCACAGGCCTGGGATGGAGACACAAATGTCTCCCTATAAAAGAACAAGCAAACAGGATCCCAGCCTCTCATCACACCCCTCTCCCATCCCAACACCAGTCAGGAACAGAAACTCAGTCTTAGAAACACATTTTGTCATTAGCACCATAGACTGTGAATCCCTCACCCAAATCTTCCTTGGACAGATGGGGAAATTGAGGCCCAGAGAAGAGAAAGGATTTGCCCAGGGTGACAGCAGTCTCAGGGGCAGAACTGGTACCCGAGGCTGGGTCTCTGACTTGCTGTCTATCCTTTTCCAAGTACAACATACTGCTTTATCATCCACTACTCAGTTCACGTTCCAAGACTGTATGACATGCCAAACTCTGTGCTAAGGGTGAGATTATAACAAGGAACAAACCAATTCCTCCTCCTTACAGTAAGCAAGAGCTGATACCAAATCCCTGGTGCCTACCTCAGGCCCACGGCCATCTCTTTGCCCCTGGAGTAGACGTCTTTCCTTGGCTGGGTTGTCAGTGCCTAAAGTTCAGGACGTCTCTTTCTTTTGCTTCCCTCGTACCTCCTGACACACACACACCCACACACACACACCCTCCAACCACCTGGAACACAGCTGCATATCCAGTCAGAGTTAAATCAGAGCTGCCTGAATGCTCGGGGAGAGACTCTGCTGCTTCCCTCATTCTTCACAGGTAAGCAAGTGTCGGGACAGCAACCTCAGTTCGTCGTGCCCACATCAAGACCTCCTGCCAGCAAAGGACCGGGGTACCAGCCTGTGCTCTGTCCCTACCACCTGGGGCCTGATGGGGGAAACGGGTTGTGAGCCTTTGTACCAACAACCCATTTATCTTCATCACCCGCTGTGAAAATCTAGCAGCTAGTGAGCTCATAAATACCCTGCCTTGTACCAGACCCTTCACCTCTCCCGACCATTCTGCTAGGGGGATGGCATTATCCTCATTCGACAATTTAGGAAACTGGGGCACAGAGAGGGGCTGTGACGTGGCCAAGTCCGCACAGCTAGTAAAGAGCATGAGATCACTGAGATCTAGGCAGCCCCTCTCATCACCATCACCAACTCCCAGTGAGGTCCGTGAGGTCACATCAGCACTGCCTTCGCCTCAGAGAAACAGAGGGGAGTGGACTCCCTGGAAAAGTTTGATCATGAGGGGAGCAGATTCCCTGGGTAAGTTTGATGACGAGAAATTCCTGTTAAACAAGAGCCTCTGGGCCAGAGGAAGATGTCAAAACAGTCCCTTAAAAAGAGAAATACCCGTTTGCTTAGGCGCAGTCCCAGGGCATGGCCTTGTTCTCCTGAGGATGATTTCACGGGCCTCCCCTTGCCCGGCCAGGACTGGGACCCCCTTACCTGTGCCAGGGCAGCAGCCGCTGCTGTGAGGTCCGAGCTCTCTGTCCGCAGCCCCAGCCTCAGTGCTATCTGGAATTGCAGAAGTAAGCAGAGTGCATCAAGCCAAGTCACCCCTAGGAGGAAATGCCGTGACCTCAGGGCCCCTCCAGCAGATGCCCGGGGAACCTCCGAGTTGGGTCACCCAGGCCCTGGGCACTGCCCAGGGGGGTTCCCACAGAGGCAGGGCAGGGGGCAGGCTGCGACCACAGTGCTGGGAGCTGGGGAGGAGAAGGAGAAGAAGCAGAGAGGGAGACAGCAAGAAGGGAGAGAGCGTGCACTCAAGAGAGAGACTCCGAGCAGGAGAGTGAGGAAGAGAGAGGAGATGCGAGTGAGAAAACAGAGTAAGAGAGAGAGGGAATCAGAGGGGGAATGAGAGGTGGAGGGAGACACGTACACAGAGAAAGACGGACAGATGTAAACACAGAGAGAGGGAGAGCGCACGAGAGGAATGAGGAGATACAAGGACAAAACCCAAGGGAGTTAAAAGAGTAAAAGATGAGATGGACAGTGGGAAGGGCTGCGTGTGCATGTGTGTGTGTGTGTGTGTGCATCAGCAGGAGAGAAAAAAATGAAAGGAAAGGGGAGAGACAGACCATAAAAAGGATGAGAAGGGAGGGACTCAGAACAGCTCTATGGTCAGTGGCACGTCTGGGTTGGGCGTCCCCGGTAACCAAGGAGCAGGGAGCCCAAGGAACCTGTGGGGACAGAGCCCTGCGTGCAGGGGTGGGGTTGGGAGGGAGGAAGGGTCCTGAGACCCTGAGCAGGAATTTGGCAGCAAGTAAGTTCTTGGGAAAAGGTGAGGGTGAGTAGGTGTGGGCAACTGAGGGGCTGAACATAGGTGAGTCTGTGACTGAGCTTGTGTGTGTGAGTCCAGTGGTGGAGGCTTTGTGTGAATGTCAGTGAGGGATGGGCCCGAGCTCTCTGCCTCAGTTTCCAGTCCATTTATCCACTACTTCATTCAACCAATAAACGTTTATTGAGCCCCTCCAGCACTAGACACTGCAGTGGACACTGTCTAAGGAAGAAAGTCCCTCAGATGTCAGCCAATCCAACAGCCTCCTACATGGGGAGGAAAACAGGTCTAGACAGGACCAAGGTCCCTCAGCCAGGCAGGTGCCAAGTAGATCCAGGAGTACAGGCTCCTGTCTCCCCACGCGGGGTCCAGCCTCAGCTCCAGCCTGGGTTTCTGGACTAGCCTCCTCCTGTTCATTGGGACCCCACCTCTGTTTCTAATCAAAGCCAAAAACAAACCTTAGAGGACAAACCACCTTTAACATGTGCCTCAGCCTTCATGAACTAGGACCAAAACTCTACCCCCCTCCCCCAGCTCCACCCCGTCACACCCAGGCAGACACACTCAAACCAACTATGTGCACAACACTTGCACGGTCAGTACACTCAACACACATCCTCATGCGGAGACACTCAGTCACAATTATGTGCCCCCCTCACCTGCACACTCATAAACTCGGGTGCCACCCCTTCATTCACACCTGCCTCGTGTCACCTCCTTCCTCGTTCTCATTTACACACACTCTCCTCAGACCCCAAGATGTGGCCCAGGCATCCCAGAAGGGACTTTGAAAAGGCCCAGTCAGGTCATCCCTCCTGGTCTCCCTTGGAGGCATTTTGAGCCTTGAGAGGCGAGAACATGTTCTGTTCATCACGTTCAACCTTTGTGCAACTGTCCATCTGAGCCAAGGTCCTAGCTCTGCTCCAACCCAGATCCTCTTTCCCCAGACTGACCTCTCCTTCTCAGCCATCCTCCAGCTGCCACACTCAGGAGGGACATGGAGGGACCTCCAGGATCAACCAGCCCCCGTTTGACCACAGACTCCAGGACCCCTGGCTCAACACTAGGCTTATGCCTGTTTTTCAACAGTCCCTTACACATGTGCACAGAGCAGCTGCCTTTCAGTACCTCTCTGAGATTATCGAGAAGCAGGGCAGGTGGGCAGAGATCATTATTCACTGGAATAATCATTATTCACAGGAAACTGAGGCTGACTCCTCCCTTTCACCCCCACATCCATTCTGTTAGCAAATCTGTCAGTTCTACTTTAAAATATATTCAGATCGGAATCTAATCAGGCCTTTAGAACCAACCTTCAGTTTGTAGCAAATACAGGCAACAGAGGGACAAATTAGAAGACTTTTCAAGGAAGCAATCAGCCAAATTGAGAATGTGGGACAAGGACATTCTACAGGACAACTGATCTAGTTCCTTCAACAGACCAACTCCATGGTGGGGGTTGGGGGGTTAGGGAGGGGACTTTTAATCTAGGAATCTCTAGATTAAAGAGACTTAAAGGGGGTGAAGGGTATAGCTCAAAGTGGTAGAACACATGCTTAGCATGTATGAGGTCCTGGGTTCAATCCCCAGTAGCTCCTCCCAAAAAAGTAAATAAATAAATAAACCTAATTACCTCCCCCCCAAAAAAACAAAACCAAAAGCAAACATAAAAGAGATTTAAGAGACATAAAAATCAAATGCAACCCGTGGGTCTTGTTGGGAACCTGGATCAACGCAATCAATTGTAAAAAGTGACCTTGACCATGTATCAGTTAGGGTCCTAGAAAGAGATGGCACAGTCAATGGGGGCAATCTGAGGATGAAAGGACTTCTTGAAGAGACGTGGGCAGGGCTAGAGAACCAAAAGGAATAGTGTAGCAGTCCAAGGCTGCCAAGAGTGGGATGCCCTTTTCACCGGAAGGGCTGAGGAGAGGGAGCAGTTCCTGGACCCAAAGAGAGTAGCTATTTACAGAGGGCTGCCTGACAAGAGACGTGATCTTGTGTAGGAAGTTGCAGCAGATCTTCAATGACTAGGCAGAGAGGGAACCAGGAAATAAACACCCAAATCTCTCTCTTCTTCCATCCTCTGATGTTTTACCAGTGCCTCCCACTGGCTGAGCCCAACCAGAAGCAAGGGAGATGGACAATAAAGTCCACACAAATCAACCTCCAAGAGGACACAAAATAGAGTGAAGAAGGGCGGAGAGTAAATCTGGAGGGGAAAACAGAAGATACCCAAGACACATATTTGAGAAAATCAGGGAGAATTTAATATGCAGAGGATTTTAGATGGTTCTCAGGAATTGTTGTTAAATTTATTAGGTGATAATGGTGGTGTGGTTATATAAGAAAATGTTAATATATATGGAAATATTTAAGGATGAAATTACAAGGAATTGTTTGAAAATATTACAGTAAAATGAGAGAGAGAGAAGGAAAGGGAAGGGAAGAGGAAGGCTGGAAGGGGAAGGGAAGGATGAAAGGAACAAAGGTAAGAAAGAGAGAGAGAGAGAGGCAAAATATTGACTCTCGGGAATCGGTATTGTAGGAGCCTGAACAATGGGTCTCAAAAGTATCAGGCCCTAATCCCTGGAACCTGTACATGGGCTCTTACATGGCAAAGATTTTGTGGGTATGATTAAATCAATGCTCTTGAGATGGGGGGATTATCCTGGATTGTCCAAGTAAGCCTTAATGAAATCACCAGCATCTGTATGGAAGAGATGCCAGGGGAAATTTGGCAGAAACAGAAGAGAAGGCAAAATGGTCACAGTCACAAACCTGGAATGCCAGCAGCCACCGGAAACAGGAAGAGGCTGGGAACGAACTCTGCCTTAGTGTCTTGAGAGAGCGTGACGGGGCTGACTCATTGCCTGTTAATACTGATTTGGGAATTCTGGCCTCCAGCACTGTCACAGAATAAATACGTGTCGTTTGAAGCTGTCAAGCTTGTGGTCATTTGTTACAGCAGCTATTGGAAACTAACACAAGTATACGGGAATTTATTCTACTCTTCCCCCTCTGTGTGTGTATTTGGAAATTTTCCTATTAAAGTTGTATTTGTATGTGCCCAATCCACAACACTACCTCTGAAATAGTCTTGCCAAGGAAACAGAAACAGAATCAGCAAGTTCAACTGCCAGTTTATAAGAAAGATAGAAAAGGAAGAGATCATGGTGATACACTGAGCAAACTCGAACAGTAGAACAAACATAGAACAAGCAGCCTGGTTCCTCAACAAACAAATTAGCGGATTGCTTATTTAAAGAGTGACTTTACGTTTGGGCTTATAGGATATTTTATTTGTTTATTTTTAATTGAATTATAGTCAGTTACAAGGGAGAAAGATGATGGAAGAACCTACAGGTTAAATGAGAATTAAGAGACATAGCAACTGAATTGCTATGAGCCTTTTTTGGATCTGGATTCAAACAAACTGGAAAGAAAGAAAGGGGTGGGGGTGGGGGGTATGTGGGAAAGGAAGAAGCAAAAGAAAGAAACAAACAGAAAGAAAAATTTTTGAGACAATCAGAACTTTGAGCACTTTAGATATCTAATTAAATTAAGGAATTCATGTTGATTGTTAGGTTAATGATTTTATAGTTATGTTAAAAAGAAGTCTTAATTTTTAGAGATACACATGAAATACTTACAGAAGAAATTATATATTTGGGAATAGCTTCAAAATAATAGGGGACATACTTCAATTGAAAAAATGGGTTGATAATTATTGAAGTTGGCTGATAGTCAATGGGGAGCCATTACACCATTAAGTGCACTCTTGTATGTGTTTTTAACTTTTTATAAGAAAGGGGCTTTTGTTGTTTGTTCTTTAAAGTAATTCAGCACTTGTATAGATTTTAAAAATGAGAGCAACAATGAAAAATAAAACTGTCCCAACGTTATAAAATGAATAATTGTGTCTTGGAATTTTTCCTATGATAGCATCTTATCAGGATGTTAGGTGCTGTGTCTCATACCATGTAAACGGAAGTAGAAATGATGGAACCTGGAATATTCTGTTAAATGACAGAAGAGAACAGTAACAATAAAGATGCTGACATCAATGATGTACATAAAGGGTGTGAATAAATTAGTCTCAAAAATTTGAGGATGTAAAGATGTATTATTTATAAAATAGTAAATTATTGCCCCAAATGATTAAGGATGTAACTGAAATAAATTAAATATTGTAAGTAGACATTTGACTGTACCAGTCATTCTCAACAGGGGCTAC